GTAGACGATGCGGCCGCTTCATTCTCCTTCTTGGTCTTGACGGGAGCGGCAGGCTTGTCTGCATCTTCTAAGGCAGGTGTCGTCTTGTTAGAGGACAATGACAGTTTCACTGCACGTTCTCTATCTTTCAACAGTCGTTCTTGCTTCCCTCGTGCTATGTATCCCTTGATCATACCAGTTAGGTAAGCATAGGTCTTCTCAGGATGCCCTTCATCAAAGGTTTTGTATCGGTTGATATCGAAGGCCATAAGCTTTGAATGTTCAATCTTCCGGAACAACGTGTCACGCAGGGAATTGTTGGAAGGCAGATCATCATGTTTCATATTGTATACGATGTCAAGCCACTTATTGTAGAAGGCCTCAAGTTGGTCATCTCCATAGTAGTTGAACATATACAAATGATGGGCATTGTAGAGAACTTCAGTGTGGTCAGGTGACTTGAAGCTAATCAATACCATTGCAAATAGTTCTCGTCCCTTGATGAAGTCCCCACTCCTCCCATACAATTGGTTCTTCATGGACATGTCATACTTCACTTGCATGGACTTGTCCCCAGCATTGTCAATGACTTTCCTCAAGGCATTGGAGAGCTTGGCATCAATGGATTGGAATCTCACATCAGGAGCTTTGGCCAGCGCCTCCAAGTCAGGTTGATCTGCAAGACACGGAGCTAACCACGCTTTCCAATCTTCATAGTTTCGATCTCCACTTGCAACGCAAACTTCATGAACGACACTTCCCTTCCAGGATGAAAGTTCAGTGGTCTTAGGCCAGGGTTGGAGGCTGATCTTTTCGGCTTCTCTTAGAGATACAGATGACTTGGATCTATCCCTTTCAAGGTTCTCCAACTCCTTGACATTTGTGTTGTACTCGTTCCTGAGCTTCTCGAAGGCTTCAGCTTCTGCTCGATATTCCTGCTCTTCATCATTGGCACGATCTTCAGCTTGAGAGAAATTGTTCTTATAGTAATCTTTACGATCTTCCATCTTCTTCAACTCATCTTGAAGATTTCGAACTTCAGCGTTCCTCTCTTGCTTCATCTCGTCCAACTCTGCTTTCAGTTTGGCACACTTCTCTTCACATTCATTCCGAGGCATGGCATTACTGGGGTACCCATGTAATGTAGTCGGTCTATTCATTAATGAAGAAGAATGAGCTTGGTTTTCCAACTTCAGGGCAGCAATGGTGCTCGACATCTCTTCTATCTCAGCGTAACGCTCATTGGCCAGTTGATGCATCTCGGTCAAATGGCTTTCAGGAATGGAATAGTCAGTCGCACCTTTGATCACGAGTCTTCTGTCGTTCAACATCTTGATGGACTTACCTGCATCCCTGTGAGCACGCTCAAGAGAGTCCTTTTGGGCTTCAAGTTCAGTATGAAGGCGAGCAATAGCTGTATCCCTGTCATTGAGTTCATTGTGCAAACTGTCAAACAAGGTACTCGTCACATTCGGATTGTTGCTCATGTGATCGATCTTGTTCAGAGCATCTTGATATTTCTTACCAGTTTCATCAAAGTTTCGCTGGAATACTTTGAGCAGGTCCTCAGTGTCAATGAGTTCAGATCTATTCTGCAAGTACAACTTGTCAACCTCAGCCTTAGATTCCTTCAAGCTGTCACGTTCACGCACGGCTTGCATGTACATCTCATAGAGAGGTCCTCCATGCGGTGATCTGCTTGGTGATGATCTTCTGGCTTGTTGACAGGAAAGTTCATGATACTGATTCTTCGATTCAGTCAGTTGCTGTTGCATTCGATCTAAAAGACTTTGTTTCATGTGTAGTTCAGAACGTAGTCCCATGATCCTCATGTCCCGCATGCCACCTGATTCAGCTAGAGATTCTTCAGAAACCCTGTTCTCAGAAATCGCTAGTCGAGATTGTAAGTTCTCATTGTGGATCACCTGCAATCGAAGCTGCGATTCTTCCAAAGCTAAGTGATGTTCACATTCTGCATAACGGTCATGTTCAGATCTTATGTTACTACGGAACTCCTTCATGATCTCGTCCCTCTTCATGTCAGCAGCATCGAGCTCAGTTTCCAGTCGCCTGACGTTCATGGCCATGGTGTGCTTCATCGTCTGGTTCTGATTAGCAACCTCGAGCATCTCGATCTGTAAAGCACATGTCTGGTCGTTAGCATAGCCGACCGCTAGAGCTTCCTGCTTGGCATTCATCTCTGCGTTTTCCAGTTCCAGTCTGAGTTGATTGATGTGAGCATTCGCATCAGCGCCCACATGCACCATAATTGCGTTCGCTTGTCCCATTTGTTCATCGAATTCCGAACGTAGTCGTGAATATTTGAATTCCAAATGAGATGCAGCTTCATTCGACATAGTCTGATACCTTTCCAACTCTTCGATCCTGTAGGTCGCACCTTCGTCTTCTTGTTGTGCAGCCTGTAACTCGAAGTTCAGCATCTGGAGTTGTTCGGTCATCGACATCATCTCTTGATGAGTGGTGCTTTCCAGGAAATTAAATTGTTGATAGGCATATGCTGTCGTCTCGCTCAATCTTGCCTGAAGTACGGATTCTTCTTCAGTGGCCCTTTCCAGTGATGTCTTGTATTCAGCTAATTCACTCTGATAGGCAGTGAAGATGTCGTTACCACTTGATGGGGCGTTCACTTGTTGATAAGATCCTGTCCCTGATGGAGTAGCGTCCTGAATCGGTGAAGGCGGATTCGACGACGTAGTCTTTGCCTTGGTCCTTGGAGTCATCGGAGGCGACAATTGTCGTGCAGATGATCTTCTCTTTCCAGGTGTGCTGTCCCTATCTTCAATTGCTTGCATTGTCGAAATTTGTCTCCCTCTAGGAGCAAACAGAGGTCGCCTGGGTAGGCTTGTTCTCAATTCTGAGGCATCGCTTCCACCAGTGTCGATACTCTGTGAAGAATTTGACTGCGTGCCGGCAGCTGGTGCAACGGCATGTCCAGAGAAAGAAAATGCATTATCGCTGCTATCCTGTTCAGTCATCTGTAAGGCCCGCGGCTCCCCGCTCGTAGGCTCCGTAGGAGTCCTACGGCTGATAACCTGTGAATCGGAGGTTGTCACTCCGACTATGTATTGATGTTGGTTCTCGAAGGAGTCTTCTTCAGTGGCGATGACAAGTGAATAGCGGCTTCCGCATGGCTTTGCTCTTTTCCGGTACTGCAGTGGGTCTTGAGCCAAAGGGGCGAGTTGATGTACCCCCTGGCTGTGGATCTTTGAGGGCTGAATTATGTGGTAGTGTACAATGGTCCGTAGCCTACACTCTATTCGCATATTTAGTTATATATATACAGCTATATATAGTTATATATGGTTATATATGGTTATATATAGTTATATATAGTTAAACATAGCTAAATATAGTTATATATAGTTATATATAGTTAATATAGTTAAATATAGTTATATTTAGTTATATATAGATATATAAGGTTATATATAGTTATATATATATATCTAGTTATATATATAGTTATATATAGTTACATATATAGCTATATATTTAAAGTTATATATTTATAGTTATATATTTATAGTTGTATATTTATTAAATATAGTTATATATTTATAGTTAAATGCTTACAGTTATAAATATATATAGTTATATATATACAGTTATATATAGTTATATATATAGTTATTTGTTGAGTTAAATAAATAGAGTTATATATAGTTATACATAGTATAATCACAATATAATCATATATAGTTATTTAAAATAATATATAGTTATATGTAGATATATAAAGTTACATATATATAATATATAGTGATATGTACTTATAAATAGTTATACATATAGTTATATATAGTAGTTATATACATCTACACGATACATGTGTGTAATATATATATATATATCTTCTGATCCAATTTGGATCTAATCCAATTTTGATCTAATCCCTGAAAAAAAAACTACCATTTTAATTAGCTGAAAAAAACTCCCGATCGCAGGCGCCAAGGGACAAAGGAAATGTGGAATGCAACAAAAACGGTGCGAATCACAGTGGGTGTGCCTGGGGCGCTAGGTGAGTCCGCCCCAAAAACATGGGCCATGAGCAAAAGGCTACAAGACTCGGTACCAAAATAAAATCAACAAGATTTAGACATGCTCCCAAATAGATAAATTGGATGATCCAGATTCGATTTATAAAACAAACAAATACATCAAAAAAAACTCCAAATCTGCTCAAACGTGTACCCATTCCCGGCACCCAGAACATCTTCAGCCAGCGAACTGGCACCAACCACAAGAGCAACCAAGCACGGGAAGAGCAGAGCGGAAACCTCGACAGTTTTGAAGAAACAGATTGGCAACATCCTTTGGGGTGCAGTGGGGGTAAATTATAACAGCTATATGGGCTCATAAGTTGGGACATAATCCGTATAACTATGGTGAAATATCATCTGTATAACAAGTCAGGTACACTGCAGCAATGGTAGTCAATAATCATGGCCGGGAAATCCCCTTTACACAATGGGAGGCTCATTTTTGTTGCCGGAGGCTCATACATGAAGTGTTGGGTCACAATTCCACTGTGTTTGAGGGTGGAACAAGCGTGTCTCTTATGAACTTTGACCATACCAAGCAAATGGAGGCGGTATACAAAACGTCGACAGCAAATGGATGTGCAAATATTGCATCTTGTTCGGTTGCAAAGCAGGTTTGAGACTTCTATCTGCAAAGTCAATGACTCGGTGGGTATTCAGGACTTGTCCATACACTGAGCAGTGGAGTGCCCCTGGTGAACAAATTTTGACGGCAATGATCTAGTAGCTGCAAATGGCAACGACCTACTATAGAAACTGGTTGGTGGTTTTAACCATCTTGAAAAATATTAGTCAATGGGAAGGATTATCTCATATAATATGGAAAATAAAGAATGTTTGAAATCACCAACCAGAAACTATCGAGAAAAGGAAACAATCCAAAACTATATTCGTTCAAATTGCAGTATCTCACCGGCCAAGTCGGATATCCTTGGCCCCTCCAGCAGACTCCCCTGCAAATCAAATGACCAATTTGGTCATGACCTTCATCATGAAATATCTCCTTGGTTTAGCAAAGGAACATCATCAATGTGGAGACCCACTCCTAAACCATCCACTTCTGTGGTTTTGGGGTTACACTTTAATCGTTTTCTGGGTTCTCCGCATGACTTGCCAGTAAGTTTTATATTCCCAAATCAGGGCAGCCATGCCTATCAAGATGGTTGCCTTTAAATAGTTTTGGGGCATTTCCCATTTTCGGACATTCAAAGAGGATAAAAGAACCGTGACTGAAACAGACCAACAAGTTTCTCATCGATGGGCCGTCTGCAAAGGAGAATCACAAAGCAGATTCGTGCAGCAATGGACGCGGCTTGGAAACCTCACAGTTACTTTGACATTGTCAGGGCGAGTACATGTTCAGAACAAACATTGTCCATGAATATGTTTACATGTTTACTACATATCCTAGCAAACGAACACGGTGTCCACAACAGAATTACCGACAAGAACACCATCAATCCATTGATATTTGATTCGTTTCCATCTCAGTGTCCAATTGGACGAATGCATGGAAAAAACATGACATTCGGTCGCTCAGTGATTAGAAAACAGTGGTTACCTAAATGGGATATTCCCGGACATCCGGGAAATTTTCACCATGGCCCCATGGCGGGTATCTCGGCGAATCGTGGCAACATGACACGCGCTTCGCTTGGCCAACTGATAAGTTGCCTGATCAAAATGACCCGTTTTTGTCAAGGGATCCCCATGTTCATCATGTTCATTGTTTGTTGTTGAAACCTCCGTGGCCCTGTTTGAAGAAAGGGATACCCCCAAATACAATGATTGTTTTTTGTTGATCACGTTAAAAAAAAAAAAAACATTCCATTTTGTTTACGGATCGATCATGCGAATAGTACCAAGAAACACACTGTCGCTGCGTCTGATTTCGCAGCCCAGGAGATCTTTATTCCCAGTTGAAACAGGCCGCAAAGTAGCCTGGGTGGTGGACAAACGACTTGACCACACAAAAAAATATGGAACACAAATTGTTAAATTACCTGCTACTCTGGTAGCACACTCATTAATGTACAAATCCTAAAAGAAAAGTAATTAAAGTAACGGGCTATAATTATTGTCCTGAACGTAAACTACCGTTCAGACATTAAGTTTTGGGTACCTTGTAGATGATGGTTTGTTTCACATATCATTGTTGTTAATACATCTCGGTTATATATACAATGATATATACAATACCGTTTGCCCACCAACATCTATATCGGCAAATGTTTTTCTTGAGTTTCCTAAGCAAGAGCGGGGGGAGACCTAAATGTCTGGACACCTTCAAAATTTCTATAGCTGAACACCCAGGAAAATAGGATGTTTGATGATGTTGGTGATCCATTAAAAAAAATATATTTCCAATCAAATTTGAAACCGAATTCCAAAATAGAAAAAAAAAGAACGTAATTTGAACATATTTGAACGTAATCTGAACGGTTTACGAGTTTTAACGCCCCCGGAACTGGCTTCTACGTTCATGTGTGGAACCCATATTTGATGAAAATATGGCATTGGAGTGGTTTGTTTTGTTTTTTTCTATTTTGGAATTCGGTTTTCATTTTTTTGATGGGAAATCGATATTTTGGGTATGGATCACAAACTGTTTTCTGGGGTGTTCAGCTATACATAGCAATTTTGAAGGTGTCCAGACATTTAGGTTTCCCCCCTTTCTTGCTCAGTCTCTTGGATGGTGGAAATGTTTATTGCCTGAAAGGTTCTTTTGTTGATTTTGCACGTGTCTAGTAAACCCTCAAAAACATTGAACAAATTATTTGTCAACGTAGTTTTGGTGGTAAAGGCATGGACGTAAATAACCGTGCATGGCCGTAAATATCCGTTCGAATGTGCACATGAACGTAAGCCCGTTCATGGACGTTAAAAGTGATCAAAGTGTTCAATAGTATCCTTTTAGCAAGATGAACGATAAACAGCATCCAAGAGGTGCAGCAAATAAAAATCAATCCATAGTAAGACGTATCTGCCAAATATTTTGGGGGAATGGACATCCCTAAATCCCGGCTATTTTGGGCTCACAAGGCTACCAGAGCTTTGACCCATAGCCACAGGAAAGTCAAAGGGGATCATCATCTCAAGTTTAGGGATGGTATTGTGGAACATTAAGTAAATTAAATTGAAAACAAAGACAAAACAACATATTTATTTATATGGGCACACTTGAACACATAATACCGCCAGCCAAGCATCTGAGGTCCGAGAAAAAGGACAGGGATCGCAACTGCAGCGTCCCCTGCGTGGTCGATGTTGACCTCAACGCTTGCTTTTGGCTGATGAGAGCAACGTGTGACAGTTTGGCCACTAGGGATAGTTGGAGTTTTCAAAGTTTGTTGGCTATTGGCACCAAATGAATGAGCCCAATAGTTCTGCAACGCTGGTTGGCGCCGGCTGCCTTTCTGCGTTACTGCTGGGTTAAGATCTGCGAAACCCAAGGTCAGCTGCGCATTTACAGGTTGCATTGACTTAAAAAAAAAACTTTGAAATAAACTTTCTTCTGGCGTCTTGTGGCAAAGGGCCAATGCGGAGATGTTTTCCCGCTGTTTTAAGCGTGGTTTTCCAAAGAAAACGGCTAAATTGCCAGAATGTACTGGCCAGAACGGCCTCTATATGTTTCATTGGTGCTGTTTCACATTGCTTTTTATCCTGAAGTCAGGTTTAATCGGGGCACATCTCTAGTGAAAGCGGTCTTATCTCACTTTTTCACCCTGCCCCGTCAGGTTCAAAGTTCGGATTGGGGCAAAAAGCAGCGACAAAAGAAATCAGAACTGCCAAAATCTGGAGGTCCAGTACTTGTTGCTCGGGTCGGACGAAGATCGGTAGAACATGTTGTCATGACACAGAGAAGACTCTCAAATATTCTATCAAGACCGACATTGAACCCCTCATGTTTTGCGTTTCTACGCCCTCCTGGGTGTTCAAAGGTTCACGGTGTATTCAAACAGGAAACGTGTGGGGTCTAACCTTCAATTCGATAATAAACGACTGAGCAGCAGTGGCTCAATGCAGAAAGCCTGCAAACAAGTTTGGCACATGGAAGCGTTCATCATACATGGCTCTTGCAACCTCCCCAACAGAGCATGAAACCATGATATCTGGCTTTGTCTAAAAATGGTTTGTATGACCGCAGTTATGGCATGTTATGGCTATGTTAAAAGGGAACCTGATGATTAACCCATGGCCCCTCTCCCAGCTGGGAAGATCATCCAACTAAATGGAGGATTGTCCTTTGCCATGTTGAATGTAACAGGTTGCCAACTGGAAACGCACCGTTAAAATAAGAGAGTGGTTGGAATAAGCGGCCTGGATTTTACGTGGTTTTACAGTTTTCAAAAAATACGGCATGTCCACAAACGTGGTAAAACTGGGCCCCTGTTTGAACCTTTCTGCACAATAATAGGATATCATCTCTAAACATACCATTTTCCGTGGCTATTTTTAATTTACCAGAGTGTATGTCATTGGAGGAAAGTCACTATTGCCTTATTGCCAATAACAGAAGAAGAGTGTCACGCAGTCACGCATGCATTGTTTATGATATTCTGCAGATTCACCCAAGCTGAATCAGAAATCATTTGCACAAATTCCCAATACCCGTCCCAACAAGTGCAGCAGTTTGCCTCCATATTTGGTGCCTTTTCAGCATCCTTGACATGTAGCCAGCAGCGAGAAAAATGTCTCCGAAGTTCAATATCGACTCCTTTTCGAATTCCTTTTCAGGCATTAGCTTGTGATTTGCAGTAATCCAACTGGGCATGGATCCTTTGTAGTACTGCATTTCAACGGCCCGTGACAGTTCATATGTCATCTCATCTATATCTCATCTCTGGCCGCATACATTGTGGTTGGATGCTTGAAACCACCGGCCAAGTGGTACAAGGGTTCAACATGAGGCATGGAGAATGTCTCCCAAATCTCAAGTTAGTTGAAAGGTTTCCCTACACTATGGGTTACAAATGGTTACAAGTTACAATAATCTCCAATAAGCCAAGTGGTATAAGTCTCATTTCACAACCAATCAACCAGGGTATGTTTAATAGCTCTTGTTGTCTTCCCCATGACCGCATGACTGGCTAAATCATGACTGGTGGCTCCCTGCAAGGCAGCGTCGCGCAGGGCGGGAGAGGTCATGCCAGCAGCGATGAGGACCTTGAAATTGGAATCCATGGTGATTTTTCATGATTTCTGCAACAAACATGGTGGAATTGACCAAAGATCATAGGGGATTTTCATGGGATATAAAAATGATGTGTAATATATATATATATAATACCTACATCTTCCATGTGGTACTTTTTTCCGCTGTTGCTCCAAAAGGCGTAACTGTTCGTTGTTCTTGTGAAGAAAAGCTTGTTTTGCAAAAAAAAAACGCCGTTGTAAAAAATGTCTCCGTGTGGTCGGGCAATGTCGCCGTTTGGTCGGGTAATGTCGCCGTTTGGTCGGGCAATGTCGCTGTTGCAAAATCATATATTTGGAATTATTTGGAAAATCTCAAAAAACATCCCTCCGCAAAAAAAAACGCTCTTTCGGAAAACATTTTTTTCGAGCAAAAGGCAGAAATTTAGCACTATTTTGAAGGTGCAGGTATTTATATATATATATATATTACAGAGAGAGAGAGAGAGATAGAGAGCGAGAGAGAGAGAGAGAGAGAGAGAGAGGAGAAAAAAACACATATATTATAGGATTATATGTTCACCAATTTGCAGGGTTTGGAAAAAAACGGATAGATTTGCCTTGCAACATAAACTGGATTCCTAAAGAGTCGGATTCCTGA